AGGCGGTGTCGGAACTGGAGGGCTCCAGGCACGCCCGGACGGGCGTCACGATGACCGCGCGCCTCTGCTCCTCCTCCTGCAGCTGCTTCTCCTGGGTCCCTTCGATGTGCTGAATCGCCTGCCGAGGGGAATCGCAGTGAGGGGGGTGCCCAGCGGGGCGGCAGGGGAGCGTTCTCCGGAAGGAAGGGGGCTCCTCGGAGGACAGTCACACGCCTCCCCTGCTGGTCTGGCGGGGTCCCCATGGTTAGCCACTGCTCAGGGCCAGCAGCCCAAGCCCCTGCCTGGACACGTTCTGCTGACACCCGCCATCAGTCTGGCTCTCACATCCTCGGCAAAACCTCCCCCCGTGCTGGGGGTGGCTGAGCAGCCCTTACCACCCCCAGCTCCAGGGGCACAGCTGGGCTGGCAGGCCCTTCGGCCCACGCGCACGTTCCCCAGCGGGCTGGGGTTTCGCTCGGTCTCAGAGCGGGAAGCTGCGCGGCCGAGGGCCATGCTGCGGGAGCCGGATGCGGCTGCTCTCTGGGAGGGGCTGGGCCCTGGCGGCTGCCCACACCCCTGGGAGGGATCGCTCCTACGCGGCCCCATCTCCAAGCCTGAGTCTGGGCCGGTCTTAGCAACCAGCCCTGCTGAGGTTCACTCGGCGCTGGGCTCTGGGGAGGAGCCCAGACATTCTCCCCACCGGGACTTGGACGGGGCCCTGTCTGGAATGCTCCCTTTTCCTTGCAGGTACCCCCAGTCCTCCCACATCCCGGCCTGTTCTCCCTACCTGAACAATGGTGTCCAGGTTTTGCCTGGATGTCGAGACCGTGTTGATTACAGAGGATGGGCCCATGGTTACCACGGTGACGTGATGGGAAGGAGGCGGTGCTGGTACAATCACAGTGGGATGATGGGTAGGGGCGGGGGGACCGTGCGCCGGCAGGAGCTGGGGAAGGAAAGAGACACCATTGAGTATGGGAGCTGCCCGGCCACACCTCCAGCCCGAGCTCCAGGGCGCAGACAGGGGCCAGGTCACAGCACCCCACCAGAGGCTACGGAGCGGCGCCACGGTGGCCTGGCCTTGAAACACCCCACAGCAGCTTTGTGGGAGGAGCTGGCCACGCGCGCCCCAGCCTGAGCCCTCCCTTCCACGTGGGTGGAGCCGAGCCACCAGCTCTCCGT